TCCCATTTTTTTAATTTTACAACTGCAAAAAAAATAGTACAATAAATTTTTTTCTTCAAATAATCATATATAAAATAAATATAATATATTAAAAAATTACTTTACAACAAAAGATCGAAGGAACTGGTGAAGCAAATATAGGAGGAATTGATGTGATGATATTTGCGGTTGAAGGGGATGTTTTTTATATGCGAAGTGAGAGTTTAAAGGTTGAAAAATTTGGAACCAATAATGAAAGGCGTGTGTCAGAATCCCAAAAAGGTGCGGATGATGATCTGCTCCTTTCCCTTACGTGGTGCCAACTCAGATAAGGCGCAGATGGTCATCTGTGCCTTTTATTATGTGGCTCCATGTAAGGGAAATACGCGGGTCATCATCCCCACCTTGTCAGAAAAAGTGCTAAATTGGTAAAAAAATTGAAACGATGTTTTACAGGTAATTAATTATTGTCAGAGTTATTTTTGGGTAAAAACGTCGAAGAAGACACCCCGTTATTAAATTTGATTTAGTATTATCAAAATCTATATATTGTTTTTTAATAAAAATATAATATAATATTTTCATGTACTAAATATTCCAGTTAAAGTTTTTAGTTTAAGCTTAAATCGAATTTGAGTTTGAATTTCAATTGTATTAAATTTAAGAATGATCCAGTTTAAAATTTGTTCGAGCTCGAGTTAAATTTTAATTTTTGATTTTGAGTTTTTTTGCAAACTTTTAATTAAAATCAAACTTTAACTTTGAAATTTTAAAATTGAATCAAATTTAATAATATTCGAGTTCTATCGACCTTACATTCCTAACAGCGCCTGGCGTTTATTGTGCAACTTGAAGGCCTTAGGCTTAGGTAGGGATGGACATGGGTCAGGTCAGATCAGTTTTTTGATCCACTCGATCTGACTCGAGAACAAAGGATCCTTCACCTGAGACTCAACCCGATCAAAACAAAATTTCACCCGACCCGACATATAACTTAGAAACTCGACCCGAAATAATAATAAAATATTATTTTTTATTTAATAAAAACAATGACTTAATTGAAAAAATTATATATAGAGGGGTATTATTGTAATTATTCATAAATATCTAAGATAAATTTATATATTTTTTCGGGTCGGGTCGAGTATTTTCACCCTAAATCGAAATGACCCGAACATTACACTTAAAAAACCTAACCTGACCTGACCCCAATTTTAAAAAAAAAACCCGACCTGATGTCGGATCATGTCGGGTTCGGGTATAATGCCCATCCCTTGGCTTAGGTTTGGTTGGACTGAGCGTTAGGCCTTTGCCCTTCTTTATTTTTTTTGTTTGGTCTGGGAGCTGACCTATTTGGGTTGAGTCCTTTAAATGTTTTAGGGATGAAAGTTTCACTTTAAAATTAAAATTAAAATTACCTTTAATTTCCTGCACTCTTTTATATTTGGATAAATTAGTCATTAAATATTATCATTTTTTTAATTTTTAATAAATTTGTTATTAAAAAAATAGATGTCCCTTTTTCCCATATATATGGAGTAAGGGGGAGGTAAGATAGTAGGCTACCCCCAACACCAGGTTGAGAGCAGCTTCCGTAAGAGACCTCCGAATTATGAAATGCCCTCCGTGAGACTTGATCCCACGACCTCAAGGTTAAAAACTAATGACAACTTGATATTCTTTTAGGTGAATTTGCAATATTAAGTTGACATTTTCTATTTGATTTTTCACAAGACTTTTTTTTATCTCTATATCATAATTATTTTTTATAATAAATTAATATTCTTAAATATAATGACGAAACATAGAACTATTTCATTGATGAATTAAAATTATGTGAAATCAAAACTTGTGACTATTATTACAGGGGGGTAGAATGTCAAATCATTACACTGAGTCTTGATTATTTATTGCATAATTGATAAAAGTATCAAAGATATGTAATATTATGAATAGATGAATTTTAATTTTTAAATCTAATAATATAAATTAAAAATAAAACCAGATAACAAAATTTCAAATAACAAAAAGTAGAGACTTGAAAACATATTTTAACTAAAAAAATCTGGAAAATTGAATTTTTACTGTGCTGGGCTAGATTAGGAACTTAAGGACAATTAGGTAAATACGATGCGTACCGGCATGTCAGAAAATCACATTTCCCATAGTAAGAAACACATCCGTCAGACAATCGTCGAACCATTGCGGCCGATTACCCAAAAACAAACAAAAGGCGAAGCAAAAGGAAGGTAAATCTGAGCAACAATCTGAATAAACAGAGAAACTAACAGTTTCAAAGAAGGTTTTGAAATGGAAGAGATCAAGGAGTCGGCGGCGTCAAAGTATGACATGGACGCTAAATGGGACGCCTGCATCGATCTCTCTCTCCGCCGCTTCGTTTACTCTTCCTTGGCTGGCGCTTTCGCCGGCCTCATTTTCTTCAGTCTGTCTCTCTTTTCCTAATTTTGTTATTTTTTATCCTTTTAAGATATTGTTCTCGATTTCCCCAATTGGATCGCACTTAATGACTATAATTTAGTGTTATTAAGCTAGATGTTTAAAGATGTTTAAAAATTATGGATTGAAGATTGGCCTAATTGGTTCTAGAAATTATGCTTTCTGATTTTCTTCTTGTCACCATTTTTCCAAGTTTCTTGTTATTGTTTCACTATATTCTAATTATTTATCTTTCAATTCTGTTTGGCACTATGTGACATTCGCTTTTCAAATTTTACATGCGCATGCTCCACAATCATAGATTTAGATGCAAATATTATGCATATACATGTACTTGAAATATGTTAAACTGCAGTCAGCGGACATGTTTTGTTTTCTATTGTGCTTGAGAACGTAATGAGTCAACTGCGACAAATATCAAATGCGAATTTTGACAGAAAAGAGAGACGTAACTGAAAAATAGCAGATGCAATATTGCGTTGTGGTTGCTATTTAAATCTGCTACTGTATTCTTTAGTATAAATTTAGTTGGCAACGTTTCAGACCAAGTGGCTTTCTTAAGGAGAAAAGTTTGAGAGACCATATGGTACCTAGTGAATCTCATAGCCTAAGATGTTCGAGCAACCTTGCATCTGTGTGTGTTGATTTTGATTTGCCTTATATTCCAATATAAGAACTAGCTCCTTTTTGTCATTGCTGTAGATTGCCTAGAATTGATTAAGAACTTGAATACTGCTTTGCTTTGTACGGAGGGAAGAAGGAAAAGGAATGGTTTTTAGTTTTATACCTCCTAGCCAACTTCAATCATTGAGTTAAAACATTTTATTATTTCTTCCAAGCAAATCCTAAACAGTTTAAGTCATTATGCATTTAACCTTTTACTATATGTTCATCTAGGCTGTAGCCAAAGTACACTGGGTTTTGCTTGAGTTTTCTTGTATTAGTTGTATGTCCAAGCGTTGTCGCTTCTGTGGCTTTCCATTTTTGTACTTTCTCCTTTGCTTGTCTTCCTTAACAGTTCCTTGAATCCATAACTTTGATTTGTCATGCCAGGGAGTCCAGTGACTAGATGGGCATCTGTAGCTTTTGGTGCCGGGGTTGGAATTGGATCTGCATACACAGATTGTTCCAGTATTTTAGGTGGATATTCTCCAAATTTTACTCCTCCTAAGCTTGACGATGCTCCTGCACCCAAGGTTGGCCTAATGCATTATTGAACTATGGGTTTAATATTGTTGACTCTTCCTTTTCTGGGTTGCGTATTCATGTTTTAATTGTTTAGTGGTAATCCTTTGTCTATATAAATATTAGAGTTTTCTTCGGCCTATTAGCACTTATCTCAAGGTATCAAATGAGTTTATGGATTAGCAGCAGTGGAGCCATTCTAGGCTAGGTTATACATGCCTGATATCCAGTTTCGTTATCATCAACTTCAACATCACCCAACCAGCAACTCTATTAGAGTCATCGATCTGAATAAAAAAAATTGGTGATTATTAGTGAACTTTCTTCTTAAGATAATATTTTATAACAATAACTATATATATATATATATATATATATTTTAAAATGGGAAGAAAAGAAAAGAAATATTGTATTAAGTGAAACTGTGATACTGATGAAAATCAGCATATCAAGGGTGCTTGTTAATTTCTCTTGTCTAAAGTGGTTGTTGTCAATTTTTCTGACACTTTTAGTTACAGTCGATTTAGTTTTAACTATCTAAAAGATCAGCATGTCAATGATGCTTCTAAAATTTAGTTTATTTCAATGTTATTCTACTTATTATATGATTCAAGAATTTCTATAGGAAGTTAATATAGTTCTCTTCCTGTTTCCAGGATCAAGAGGAGTGAGTTGATGCATTTGATGATGTTCCTCTAGTTAACAGGTTTAAATTCTAAATTTCATAAGCTAATACTGTTTAGTCTTTTCCCTGGGAGTGTCTTCTGCGTTTGAAATACTAAGATTATATGTTGGTGGGTAAACAATTAACTTGATGCACCAAAAGTTCATTAGGAATCCACTTATCTTTTATTCTGTAATTCTATCATGAGTATTCACAATTTGAAGCGGAAAATGGAAACAACTCCTGTCTTGGTAATTTAATCATTAATTTTAAGTTTGATTTATAATTTATGAATGAGACGTATGTAATGATTCATGTATTAGAATATAATGTATAAAAAATTAATGAATTTAATCCCAATCCGTTAGTATAAAATATGAACTTATTTGACAAAATTCACGTTTAGGTAATTATTGAGGTCCATTTCTTCTTCATGTGCCAAGAGTTTACGGTGAATTCACATCTAATAACCATTCAGCAATGGTGTGGATTTATATGGAACAGATAGATGTACGCATGTTTGATAAGGAACGTAGAATTAAATCAACCAAAAACTATTACCCTTTTAACTTTATTATTAAGAATTTATTATTACATCGTTTCACAAAACAGCAAAGATTTATCAAATAGAAAATTTGAAAGACAACAAATACTCTGGGATTTTTAAACTCCACAGTCAATATGGATGCAAGGGAGATGAGAACAATTAATTGGGTATCGGTTGAATGTTGATGGGGAGACGAGACCCTCCTCGGGAATAGGAGTTGGAATGTAGTAAATCTTCTCATTGGGATTGATTTTGACCCATTTGAAACTGGTGATAAGGTTGTGGATGAATGTCAGGATTTCGTGTTGTGCATACTCTTTTCCTGGACACATTTCAGGACCTCCCCCAATGGTACGAACGTCTAGGGCGCTGGACCATTTCCTTCAAATCTTGATGGATCGAATCATTCTGGATCCGGCAAGTATTTGGGATTTTTATTTGTTATATGCACCATCCAAAACGCCTGAACCAATTACAGATGAACAACAATGGTCACGTAATGCATAATCTCTAGTATGAGAAATATGGCCTCGGGTACTTACCTTCCATCCCTTTGGAATAGTATAACCAGCGTAAGTAAAGTCAGTGATGGCCTCTCTAAAAGATCCATTAGCAGGTGGACACAGCCTCGTTACTTCGCATGCCACGTACTTCATTTTGTGTATATCTTCCCATCTAAATGCCTCCCCTCCCTCTTTGCTTCTTAAAACCTCCATTTGCTCTGCACCACTTCCCAACATCATTATTGAATTCCCAAATTAAAATCTAAATAAAAAGTACGTTCAAGGACCCTCCTATAAACCTCAGGGAGATAGCTAACAATGAATTAGGTGATTGCAGTACTAGGTGTGTCACGGCTGGCTATAGAGAAGCCTAAGATCTTGCTGCCTACCACAACCTCCGTCATTCACTTCATCACCATCAGCATGCAATCAACCAAGTCCGATGCCACTGTTTTTTGTTTCTCTAATACCTAGTTTTTCTTCTTGGTAATGAGGGCCAAAAGCTGTTGCCGAATTTCTCTGCCAGCTTCACTGCGCGATTGAAAGTTGTGCCTGGAAGATCAATGGATGGATCTCCTCCCAAGTGAAATTCTGCTAAAACTAGTAGCAACAACTATGTTAGCATCATTTGCCTCTATGTTTACTCAGACTGAGCTGTGACCATCCAATACGTGCACGGGTATGTTGAATCTTTTTCAAAGTTCTAATGTGTTTGAAAGGTGATTAGAGGATAATATATCTATAATCATATCTAAAAATGTGTCGGACACGGATGTCGGATAAAATTACCTCAATAAGAAACATAGATCTAGATTGTTATGAGGTTATTTAATGTTTTAATTAGCATGATTTTGCTTGTAGGATGGGGCAGGCACTAGTTAGTTTTCAAATGCATCTGATTCAACTGAAAGTAGAATGGTCATATATGAAGAGACTAAACTAGAGTTCTTTCCTTCAAGAACCAACCAGACCAATTGTCTTTTAAAGATATTTTTTACAATATTACTCTAATATAAGTGAATCTCTCTTAATATATGTGCATATACGTGTGTGAAAAATATCTATTTATGTTAGTGTAAAATTTATTTATTTTATATGCTCCTGTTTACAAAACTCAAGTACTAAATTAAGTAAACCTTCAAATTCATAAATTTCCAATCACAATAATTTTGCCACTTTTGACCATTTTCTCAACCAAATTAAAAAGTAGAATGGTTAAATTGTACCCTGTCAGAGATTAGTTCTAAATTCGACCAATTATCCTACAAAGAGCAGTAAATTCGGACCTTGTTCTTGTTGCATTCATAAACTTTGAGAGTCCTAAATGCTGCCAGATTTTTCTTCTTGGTCTTATCCAAGTTAAAGCACCCATTGCAAAGAAAGGCTGAAACAAAGTAAATAACATTGCTAAACCATATCCCAGAAAAAGAGAAGACATTCTTGAACCTAAAATAAAGTAGGATATTGTTATAGTTTGAGGTAAATAAAAGAGAAATCAAGAAAGTAGATAATAGGAATAGAGAGAATTTGGAGAGATTTCAGAGAAAGAAATTCGTGTTCATTCATAACATGAGAGAAATACATCATCACATCTTGTTTTATTTAGTTACAATATACCAGAATCTTAAGGATGCCAGCTGGCTGTCCTTTGTAACTGAATCTAACAATTTCATGCTTTCCTCATTTGTTTTGCAGATATAAACTACTGGGCTCAGATATAATAATTTCCTTGGGCCGCTCCTGCTGTATCCAATCCACTCCCTGATGATCTGCTCCAAAGGGTAAGTTCACTTCACGTGCTATAATCCCCAATCCTTTATTCTCAATCCTTAACCCTCGTCTCATTTCCCCCAATTCTCCCTTACTCTCTTCGTGTTCTCTCTCAATCCCTAACCCTCGTCTTATTTCCCCCAATTCTTCCTCGCCCTCTTCGTGTTCTCGCCCTTCTCCTCCCACCATGACAATACCCACCCCTCGAGATGATCCTTGCCCCCAAGGATCAAAAGACAGAAACTGACCACGTAGTACTGAGTAATCTTCCCAAGTGTCATGCGAGGCGTCCAGGTTAGTTCATCGAACGAGAAACTGAGTAACTGGCCTGTTGTTTCGATTAATAATTCTTCTACCCAAAACTTGACTTGGTTCTAAGCGAAACTGACCATCTTCATCTACCACAGGAGGCTCTGTCGAAGATACTGCTGTTGGCCCAATATGCCACTTCAACATACTGACATGAAAGACTGGGTGTAACCGAGAGGTCTCTGGTAATTGTAACTTATAAGCGACTTCTCCTATTCTTTCAATAATTTTGTAGGGCCCATAAAACTTAGCTGCTAACTTCAGATTTTTTTCTCAGGGCAAGGGATGTTTGATGATAAGGCTGCAGCTTCAAGTAAACCTTATCTCCTACTGCAAAATTTCTTTCTGTACGATTTTTATCTGCCTGTTGCTTCATTCGGTTAGCAGCTTGTTCAAGTTGTTGTTTAACCATTTGCATGATTTCTTCCCTGCTTTTCATAATTTCTCCCACAGCCTGCATTGTAGCTTCTGGTTGCCAAACCATTATAGGAGGCTTATAACCATAAAGAGCCTGAAAAGGTGTTAGGTTTAAGGATGTGTGATAGGTAGTATTATACCACCATTCAGCATGAGCCAACCACTTAGCCCACTGTTTAGGTTGTAAAAAAACAGAGGCCTTTTAAATATTGCTCAAGACATTGATTAACCCTCTCTGTTTAACCATCCGTTTCAGGATGGTAAGCAGTACTGAATAAGTTTGTAGTACCCAACTGCTTCATTAGTTCTCTCCAAAAGAGACTAGTGAATGTTTTATCCCTATCTAAATTAGCCAATTTAGGCTGACCATGGAGCTTGTAGACATTGTCTAGATAAAGCTTAGCAACCTCAGCTGCAGTGTAGGGATGAGACAATGCCATAAAATGGTTGTATTTTGTGAACTTATCCACCACAACTAGGATACAATTCTTCCTTAATGAAGTAGGTAACCCATCAATAAAGTCCATAATAACCACCTCCCAAGCTTGTTGAGGAATAGGTAAGGGCTGTAGCAGTCCTGGTTTAGGTACATGCTCTACCTTGGTCTGTTGGCAGACTGTACAACATCTGATATATGTAGCTACCATACCTTTAAGCCCAGGCCAGTAAAAATATGATCTTATCCTCTGGTAAGTTGCTTGAATCCCTGAATGGCCTCCATGAGGAGAGTCATGTAATACTTGGAGAATTTGAAGCCTTAGAGACCCAGTAGGACTAATGTAAACTCTGCCTTTAAATCTTAGTATGCCTTTGGAAAATTTCCAATTAGGATCAGCATTGGCATTCACAGTTAAAATATTAATCCATGCAGCAGCCAATTTATCATCTTTATAGCTGCCTTTAACTTCTGTCACCCAAGTAGCAATGATCAAAGTAGTCCCCATAGCCAACATTTGGCCCTGATCCTCCCATTGCCTAGACAAGGCATCTGCCACCATATTGGACTTGCCCTTTCTGTAATGAATATAGTAATCAAGCCCTAATAATTTAGTCAGCCTTTTTTTCTGAATTGTGGTGGTCAGTTTATGCTCTAATAGATACTTTAGAGACTCATGATCAGTTTTAATAATAAAAGGCTTACTTTCTAAATAATGTCTCCACTTAGAAAATGCTAATAAAATAGCAAGATACTCCCTATCATAAATGGAGAGGGCAGCATGTCGAGGACTGAGAGCCCTACTTAGATAAGCAATAGGTCTGCCTTTTTGAGACAACACAACACCAATGCCTCCTGAACTTGCATCAGTTTCCGAACAGAAACTCTTAGTGAAATCAGGTAAAGCTAAAACATGAGCAACACAACATAGCCTGTTTTAGGTTGTCAAAAGCAGTCAAAGTTGTAAAAGACCAATGAAAACTGTCCTTAGTAAGCATTTGAGTCAAGGGCTTACTTATGGAACCATAATTTTTAATAAACCGCCTATAATAGCCAGTTAAGCCCAAAAATCCACGCAAAGACTTTAAAGATTTAGGAAGAGGCCAATTCTTCATGGCTTCTATCTTAGTAGGATCTGTTGCAACCCCTGCTGCTGAAATAACATGACCCAAGTACTTCACCTGGGTCTGTCCAAAAAAACACTTGGACAGTTTTGCAAATAACTGATTGGCTTTTAAAACCTCCAAAACTGATTGCAAATGAGTAATATGTTCAGCCATAGAATTACTGTAGACTAGTATATCATCAAAGAACACCAAAACAAACTTTCTAAGAAATGATTTAAACAAATCATTCATTAATGCCTGAAATATAGCAGGGGAATTAGTAAGACCAAAAGGCATTACCTTGAATTCATAATGCCCTTGATGAGTTCTAAATGTTGTTTTGTAAATATCATCCTCTTTAATTCTGATTTGCCAATACCCTGACCTTAAGTCAATATTGGAAAAATAAACTGCACCATATAACTAATCTAATAGATCTTCCACCACCGGAATAGGAAACTTATCTTTAACTGTCAAATTATTCAATTGTCTGTAATCAACACAAAACCTCCAAGTCCCATCCTTTTTCTTTATCAATAGGCATGGAGAAGCAAAGGGACTCTTGCTAGGTTGAATAATAGAAGATGATAACATTGTAGCAATCTGCCTTTCTACTTCAGTTTTCTGGTTATGAGGAAATCTGTAGGGCCTCAAATTAATAGGACTAGAACCAGGTTTGAGGGGAATAGCATGATCATGAGTCCTTGTAGGAGGTAATCCTTTAGGCTCATCAAAAACAGAGCTATATCTCTTTAAAAGAGGTTTGAGAGCTGCAGGAACTGACTTAGGAATTTCAGTCATACTCAGCAAAACTACATGCCCCAAAATAGTTGCCTCAGATGCTGTCATTTTTAATAAAGTAGCACCTGAAATCTGCTGCAACAGTGAAGGTTGTTGTCCCTGTATAACAATATTTTCACCTTGATGCTGAAAACTCATTGTCATTTGATTGAAGTCCATCAAAATTGGACTAAATAATTTCATCCAATCAACCCCTAAAACCATATCACTGCCTCCCAATTTAAGGAGTCTAAAGTCATGTATGAAAGAGTGCCCTTGCATCTGCCACTCCACCTTGTTGCATCTAGCTGAACTATAGAGTTGTTTGCCATTAGCTACTGTAATAGCTAAAGGACAGGGAGTTAGAACCTGAAATCCAGCATCAACCCATTCTGGTGTCAAAAAGCTATGTGTACTTCCACTGTCAATCAAAATATTCAAAGGTTTGCCTTGTATTGTGCCTTGAATCCTCAAGGTATTATGACTAATGCAACCAGTAATAGCATTCATAGATATCTCTAAGTTTTCCTCTTCTTGTACTAACTGCTGGTCTGAATCAATAGGAACAATTTCTGTAGGAATAGTATTTTCCTCTTCAGTCATCATATTGAGGTTTCTTGATTTACATTGATGGTATGGCTGAAATTTTTCTCCACACTTAAAACAAAGGTTGTGTTGTCTTCCGTAATCAATGAGATTGGAATTTGGTGAGGATTTAATAGGCAGTGGAACTGAATTTGGCTTGGGAGTATTAATGGGGTTTGGGTAGGGTGGGCTTTTAAAGGAAGGTCTCAACCTTCTATTTTCAAACTCCACAGACAACTCATAGAGCTTAGCTTGTTTGCATGCCTCAGATAAATTTTTAGGATCTAGAGCTTTCACTCTATGTTTGATGTCATCTCTAAGCCCACTTATAAAAAGTGACACAAAGAAATCCTCACTCAAGGTAGGATTTTGTAATAACATGTGTGGTTGTAACTCCTCAAACCTTTCTTGATAGTCTTCAATAGATCCTTTCTGTGTAAGCTTAGTGAATTCCTCCACAATATCATAAAAAGACCTATCACTGAATCTATGGCACAAATCAGCTTCAAACTCATGCCAAGTTACATGATGCTTCTGCATAATATAGCCATCAAACCATATTTTTGCTTTTCTTGTAAGATACATAGTAGCCACTTCTACCCTTTGATCTACAGGAACCTTGCATAAGGAAAAATGCTTGAGACACTTATGCATCCACCCCTTAGGATTTACCCCCTCAAAAAATGGCAACTCTATTTTGGGTCTATGCCACATAGTCCCTGAACTGCTAAATGAACCCCCTGCTCCCCTATTTTCAGTTTCCAATCCCAGCATAATAGGCCTATTATTACTGTTGTCACCCATCTGATTCTCAGGCCTAGAACTGTTCTTAAGTGCTAAACAAGCATCAGGCTTATCCTTCAAAATCCCAGGTTCATCCGTTTTATAAGAGAATCTGGATTTATCTTTAACTACAGTCACCATAACAGGATATTTCTCCCAATTTTTAGAGCTATTAGGAGTATATACCTGATCCCCGGCAGACTGCTCTTGTTCACCATTTCTGCCAGTTAAGATCTTCAGTGTATCCTCCACATAACTGTGATCCTTGCCTCCAGTGCAGTAATCTTGTTTTCTTGAGCCTCCCACCATTTAGGTGAATTAGTCTCATTCTGGCCCTGTTTCATCAAAGCAGCAAGGTCTTCAATTTGCTTCTGATTTCAGCTAAATCAGTTTCTTCCATAGATTGATTCTTCTTTGACATTCCCTCAAAAAAAAAATTTTTGCCAGAATTATAGCTCTGATTACCAATTGTTATAGTTTGAGGTAAATAGAAGAGAAATCGAGAAAGTAGATAATAGGAATAGAGAGAATTTAGAGAGATTTCAGAGAAAGAAATTCGTGTTCATTCATAACATGAGAGAAATACATCATCACAGCTTGTTTTTATTTAGTTACAATATACCAGAATCTTAAGGATTCCAGTTGGCTGTCCTTTGTAACTGAATCTAACAATTTCATGCTTTCCTCATTTGTTTTGCAGATATAGACTACTGGGCTCAGATATAATAATTTCCTTGGGCTGCTCCTGCTGTATCCAATCCACTCCCTGATGATCTGCTCCAAAGGGTAAGTTCACTTCATTCTCCTCACGTGCTATAATCCCCAATCTTTTATTCTCAATCCCTAACCCTCGTCTCATTTCCCCCAATTCTTCCTCACCCTCTTCGTGTTCTCGCCCTTCTTCTCCCACCATGACAGATAAGTACTGAATTAAATTGTTCATGACACCTATATCAGCCTATGATTCAAAAGTCTCCTTCGAGCCAATAACTCCCACCTCAAACCTAGCAAATATCTACTCGGATGTAATAGTAAAATATAGGTTGTGGAAGATAAAGTTTTCCAGATAAAAAGGTAATAAGTTGGAGCCTATGCCATTTTTTTAAATAAAATAAAATAAGCAATAACGCATATCATGAAGGACTACACGAGAAGTAACAAAGAAACGAACTAAACACATAAAAAAAGCATCTAAAATACAATGAAATATGAGAATAATAATCAAATGATGCTTGCTGATAAAGAATACATGCAACCCACTACACAACTATTGTTACCCAGCCTTTTTGTTTTCCTAAAATACCTGTGTCTAACACATATTGACATGAGTATGAGGTATGATCCTCCAAAAATAGAGGAAAGAGTTTGTTTTAAAAAGGTGACACTTACCTGTGTCAAAGATATGAAACTCACTCCGAATCCAGACAACACGGCTCCATAGGAGGAACCTGTGGAATTCCTTAATCTAATACAAACAAGGGCAACAGAAGCATCTTGAAATTCCAATAAACCAATAACATAAAGCAGCTAAGACTTTACCTCAATGCAAGGAAAAGCATAGCAAACAAAAGTGGGAGAATCCATATAAAACTTGCAAAGAAAAAATATTAAAGATTCAAGCACATAAAGAGAAGATCGTGTAGAAGTTAATAACGAAGAAGTTAAGGAAGGTGATTCAAGGCAGAGAAATTGAAACTTAAAGCTACAGCTAGTCTCTGCCAGTATCAAACATATGCAGCTTAATTGAAAGTTGTGCTCAGCTTCCATTACCCATTTTATTCTTGCCACATGAGATTGAAGCATAAAAAAGTTCAATCAAGAGACAGCAAATATCGACATCTTACAATTGACTTGATTAAACCATTAAGCCCGAAAAGGAACATCGTTCAGGAACTAATACCAAACGTTTGTAGCAATGCATCATAACTGCAATAAATGAAAGACTTACAATATCAAAACTAACAAAAAAGAGAATAAGCAGGCCATAGTTTAACCGATGATCGTCAGTCATAATCTCGTGAAGTAACGAGTGCTAAACACGACCATCAATAATGCTAGCAGTGGTGACCCCTTGAGCAAGGGATCGAATACAACAATTCACTTTTGGAATCATCCCACCACCCACCTTGCCTTCCTCAATCATTTTCTTCACTCCCTTTATATCAATCTCCTTCACCAGGCTTCCAGGGTCCTCTCGATTTCTCAGAATGCCCGCAACGTCGGTCAACAGGATCAGTTTCTCTGCTCCCAATGCCGCCGTCACCTCACCAGCAACCGTGTCTGCATTGATGTTGTAAGACTGCCCGACTTATCGGCCGCAACAGAAGCAATCACCGGGATGCTTCCGTTGTTCACGAGCGTTTGGAGAACTGTGTGGTCCACTCTCGCAACCTCCCCAACAAACCCCAACTGTGCGGCGTTTGGGCTGGGTAGGGCAGTTAAAAAGCGGCAGTCCATACCAGAAAGGCCGACGGTGGTGGCTCCGGCGAAGTTTATACGAGAGACCAGGTCTTTGTTAACTTTTCCAACAAGGACCATGGTCCTTGCGTCGGTCACACGGAGTCCGTCGCGGAACTGAGATGGGATGTTGAGCTGATTGAGAAGGACGTTGATTTCAGGACCACCACCGTGGACGGGACGGAGGCCAACGCAGGCGAGAAGGACAAGGTCCCTGACAACAGAGGCCTTGAGCTCGGAAGATTTCATGGCCGCACCGCCGTATTTAACGACAATGGTCTTTCCCCTAAATTTCTGGATGTAGGGGAGTGACTCAGAGAGGATTTTGACTCGAAGTTTATTATCATAATTGCTAAGAGTGGGATTAGGCGGATCATTGAGAGCGGTGGAGGAGGCTGAAGAAGCGCTCACGGCAAGGCGAAGATGGCGAGAATGAGGGATAAAGGAGGTCTTGGAGAGATTGAGATTGAGGTTTAGGATTTTTTATTTTGATTTCGTTGAAGAGAAATGAAAGGGGTTCTGTTGAAGAGCAAAACCGGAGAGGTTTGGCGGTGGCTGGTGCTCCCATTTTTTTATCTTTCTTTCCTGCTTTCTTCTGCTATGGCTTTAGAGAGAGCTAGTGGCTCACTGAGACTGTCATCCAGGAGACTGAAGTGAGGACTGAGGAGTGTTACCCTGTTAGGGACGGGCATGGCTGGTTTGGGCCGACCCAAATTCGATCCAAGTATTTTATTACTTCATTTATCATTCGATTCGATTAAAATTTAAAAATAAATAATTTGATTCAATGTTGACTCCATTTTTTAAATAAAACTCACATTAGAATCAATATATATATATATATATATATATAATTTATATTTTTATTAGGTATAATATATACTTAGATGAAAAATCTAAATGAAATTATTGTAATATTTTTAAATATTATATATAATAATATTATCTATTATTAGATCAAGTTAAAAAAATCATCTTAAACAAGAAATCTGACCCTAATCTTATTCTTTTAAAAAATTCAATCTAAATAGGTAACTATTTAAATAAAATTAATTTTTAAATTTGATTGAATATAAATTTATTAAATTCGAGCCTCATACTTATGTCTAAAAAAATACTTTTTTTCATACTTATCTCTAGAAAATACTTTTTTTCATTGTTTGATGAGTGAACAATAAACAAGTCATTGGAAACAGTTTACAGGTCAAAAAATGCAGGCGTAAGGATGAAATAAGTTCTTAAATTATATCATTTATTAATTTTAGATTTTTAAATTATTTTTCGCTTAATTTTTTTCATTATTATTTTAAGTATCTATACTGTAACCAATTGTTGTTAAGAAAATTTGTTATCTATAATGTATTGTGTTTATATTTTTTAAAAATTATTCAAAAACTTAAAATATTATCATTTAAAAAAAAGCTTATTTAGAAACTTCAGAATTCCTAAAATATATTAATATTAATAACTTTAAAAATAAGAACTTAAAGAGATAACTATTGTTTAAAAATACGAACGATAGTTGATTTAAGTAATAAACAGTTTGATATTATTTAAATATGTCTCGAATTCGAGGCTTTATGTATGCAAATAAATAATATTTGCTAATAGACTCACTCACTAAAACCAAATGTAAACACAAATCGATCCATATTAGTTAGAATAAAAGTCTTGAAGAAATGGGAGCAATAACAAAATCTTAATATAAAATCAAATGCTCAAACTATACATCTTTTCTCATTTAGGTGCTTAACGTGTCCAATGTTATTATTTAGGTTCATACACTGTAACTGTCGTTAAATAAGCCAACCAATCAATATTTGACATGTGACTTGATTTTTTATTTTGTAATTTTTTAAAAAAAATTATAAATTTTCAAAAAAAATCTAAAATTTTCCTATTTTTCATAAAATACCTCAAAACCTTCAATTCTAGCGTCTACTACCACCATCGTTGGTGACCACCCACTCACTTGTATGCCATCATTCCGCAGACTATTCACCCACTGGTTGTGATAGATGAATGTTGAAATTTAGGGATTTAGATTTTGGATTTATGGATTTTGGGGGGTTTGAAGCCATTGTTGACGACCAACAATGAGTGGGTAGGCAGCCAGTGGGGGCGACATAGATAGTGAACAATCGACAGATGGGGTGGATGCTTTGGGATTAAGGATTTTGAGACTTTTTTGAGATTTTAGAAATATTTGGGGTCTTTTGAAAAATAAGAATGATTTAAAATTCTTTTAAAAATTAAAATTTTAAAAAGAGAAAATAACCTCAGTGACAAAAAATGTCTTATAATATACGATTTTAACCAACTTTTTTTTGGATTTGCCAAAATGACCAACAAAATCGCAATGCGATCGATAATTCGCAACGCGATCTCCGGTATCGCAAATCAGTTTCTAGATTCGCAACGCGAACTTCGACTATCGCATTGCGATTTACATATTCGCATTGCGATAGTCCAAGTTCACGTTGCGATAGTCGAAGTTCGCATTGCGATTTATTCCAAATTCGTTGCGATAGTCCAAGTTCGCGTTGCGATTTATTCCAAATTCGTTGCGATTTATTCCAAATTCGTTGCGATAGTCCAAGTTCGTTGCGATAGTCAAAGTTCGCGTTGCGATTTATTCCAAATTCATTGCGATAATCCAAAATCGCAACGACGGTATTGCATTTGTTTCTTAAGAATTTTCTCTAAAAAGATAGTATTCGCGCGGACGTGTCCAAGACACGTATTACCACGACCGCGACCGCGACCACGAGACGGGACGGGACGGCGGCGGCGGCGCGCGAGAGTCCCCCTTGTTCTCTATCACTCAACAAGGAAGTGGGAAAGTCAAGCCT